TAGTTTCAATGAATAAATACAGTCATCGTAAAGAGCTGTGGAAAACTTCTTCAGATAGCCAGTCATTCGGACTGGCAAGAAGACAAAATATACTCGTCTGAAGTGATTTTTTCCGGTCCGAATTAGTATGTTGCAAAAGAAGGATATGTTTTGGAGGTTCATGTTTGCTCTGCTCCAATTATTTACTGCTAAATGAATTTGAACGGACTTGGAACTTCAATTCTCTTCGTTATTTTATATGTTTCAGTGCTTAATTTTCATGAATAACAATTAATGAATAAAATGTATAATGCAGAAATAGTTTTTAAATGAATAATCTACAAAAATTGATATTTTTCAAAATTTAATGAAATAATGACAACTTACCTTTGTAATTCTAAAAGAAAATATCCCGAAATGTCTGTCCATTCTTCCTGTTATGCTTGAAGTCCCATTAGGCATATACTATTACAACATAACAAAAAAATGTCCAATCTAGCGAAATTCAGAGACAAACTTATATTTTTATTCGGGACTAAGCGCGTTAGTAAAATCCTCACCACTAAAAAGCGCTTAGTCCTGAATAAAAGTATAAGTTTGTGTTCCTTTAAAGGGCGAAGAGAAAAATCTTGAAATACATTCTCAAGAATGTGTGAGCAAATCTTCCTCTCAAGAACCACTGAGTAAGGAAAAGATCAAACTGATGTGAAAATATTAAGAAATAGTTTAGATAATATATTGATTGAACCATGACACATAGAGGCTAGCTGAGCAATAATATTACATTGAAGTTTCATGATGGGGAAAAATAATGAAGGGCAGTGCAATAATAATTCAGTCGAGCGTTTGACCTGTGGGACGCATTTCGTTTTGTTTAATAAAACAATGATCCCAATGTATGAATGTTTTCTGCTATACGAAAGGAAAAACTATGAAGCACTAACTAAATTTCTGGCGGATCATACAAATTGTCCAAGTGGCAATTTTTCATTGCCATAGGAAAAAAAGTACGTTTGCTGATTGGCCAACAAGCAAAAATCGAAGTTAAACGAAGCTGAAGGAAAGGAAGTAAAAATTCATACCCTGTACTTGGAGGTCGAGGAAGACGAAAAAAAAGATCAGATGTACCGGACTGGAACAAATGTGAACAAGTATTTTGCATTATGATTGATTCTAGTCGTAATTGTCAAAATCATAGTCATTATCTTATTTAAACGGTATAATAAGCAGATATTCTGATGATATAAAATATGATTTCATTTTTTGCAATTGTTTCTTAGTAAACTAGTTTATTTATTGAAATTGTTATTTTTGGCATAAACTAATTTGTTCCTTTAGAATGCTTCACATGTATGACTTTCAGTATTCATTTTATAAACTTTCGTTTCCAAATATGCTGTAAATTATAAGTAAAAGTACTTTTAATGAAATGATATTTTAGTACTTGAAAAATTACATGATGAACTATTTATATCTTTAAATCATTGAATCATTGAAACAGTGCAATATAAGTTTATTGCGCGATAGACAATGTACAATGAATAAACAATTCACCAATTACACAAACTACAAGTAAAAATAATATAGTTATGTCAAACAGTGTTGAAGCTCATGTATGCATTTAAACAATACAGATCAGATGCAGAACAAACACTTCTAAAAAAACACCATAGACAATGTGTGTGTGTGTGTTAATGATCTGTATGAAAACGTCAATCTGCATTTTGACTTATTGATAGATTATATTGTTGAAAAAGTCATTGTATCGACCATAAACTTGGAAAATGACAACTTTAAACGACATGTGTTGACATTCTTGTTTCATTAATATGTTTTAATATAGCCTGTCTCGTCTTAGAAATTGTTCACATATAGACCATGTTCCTGCGGTCCGAATCAACTGAGAGAAATAAACGCATCATGCATGAGATAATGGTATCTTAGTACATCAATTAGTAAGGGAGGCTCAGAATTGAAAAAAGATAAAGTCATCACATTTATTATAAAGTTTGTTAGGTTATCATGAACTTCTTTTCAAGTAAAGTTTCAAAAGATGAACAAATGTACATGTGTGGGACTATGATTTTTTTCTTATATTTTAAGCTAATAATCGATCGAGTCGACAAATGAATTACAGTAATCGAAAAATCTCAATGTCCAGTTGAAGATCAAGGCGAATATTCTTTTCATGTACAAGATTTTGAATAAAATTTGCTTCATATGGAATGAATATAAACAAATATCATATAAAAATGAACATAATCATTTATTAATCACATAAATACACTACATAACATGTTAAAGTACTGTTTTCTATAAATTAATAACAGGTTTTGTTTACTTAACGAAAGTAGAAATACGTATAATAAATAGTCTGTCAAAGGTTATATTAAAGCCATATATGGCGTATGTACAATGAAAATTATTATACTAAAATTATAAGAACTTATTATTTGTATGATTACTTTATATAAAGATAGAACTTTTCCGTAAATTACAAAATCTAGGTCAGTTGCGTTATAAAGATATCACAATTTAATTTGGATTCTCGGAATTTTCTCCGGCTCGGAAGAAAATATAAAAGATTTAAATAACACATTATATAGAAGATATAATTGTATTATTAGGTGAAACGAGGAGTTCTCCGTGTTCAGAATTGTATGAAAAGCCTTAATTTAAATGTATTAACTATATTTCTTCACTTAATTTTGTATTTTTCAAAAATATATTTTTTGATCAGTTACGCCATATATGGCTTTAAGATGCATGTGAAATCTGCATAGTTATTTAAAATCACAAAAAATGATACTAGATGATACTTAAAATACTTAATATCATTATTACACAACGTATTTACACTAGTGCATTTACAGTCAGTAAAAAGCATAGGAGGGTTTATATGTTCAAAATGAAAACAGCGTTATTCAGGATTATTTAACGTAGAAGAATTCATCATTTTATAATTCAAAATATAATGAATAGATATATGCAGTATATCTATAACGTAAGGTTTATGTACATTGTCGGTGAAAGAAAACACGTTAAATCCGGAGTGTCCATTTCTTGCATGTTCATCAATATAATGAAAAAGTTTTCCAAACATGCATGTATAATGAAACAAACATCAATTAAGTTTCTAAAAATTATACAGCCTGTATTTACATGCAATCTTTATATCTGATGCACTGTAAAGCGAGAAGAATCCACTTATAACATCATTGAAGAAAATACGGAAGCTATTGAGACTCAAGATGTATAATATTAAAGAAATACAAAAATTTTTAAAGTTAGACAAACTCCGAAGTGTTTCCTGTATTCTGAAAGATTTCCGTTTGATAACATTTAAAACATTTAAATATGAATGAATATTTAATGATCAATTTTTTTTCACTTCTTAAGTTGAAAACTTGACACAAAAATTGAAATTTGTATGCATGATCCATAGTTTTACTTTAATTGACGTTTGCCTGATCATTGTATAGGCCTCGCGTCAAAAGTGGCCAGCCACCAGGGAATGTTTGCTCCTCCTGGATCCAACCTCTGAAATATTGTTTATCTTTTCAATCAACCCTAAGAGAAGGTTATTTTAATAACTCCAAATTTATCAGTCAAATTAACTAGAATTTAACTGTCAGTGTTTATATATGAATCAGCATGATGTTTAAGATCAAATCAATACAAAACAAGCTAATTAAGAGAATTTGTGTCCCCCGCTTAGGGAAAAAGTAAATCATGCACAGTTCGGGGGGCGGGGGGGGGGCGGATCCCCTTGACTGAATTTGTAGAATTATTAAATGTATACATGTATACTAAAGCAAATAAAATATGCCAATATGGATAATTTATAAAGATTTGATTGCTTAATCTTTATTATGTGTATAGAAGATTCTTTTTATATAGAATATTTTTCACACTGCCATGATGATTTTATGAGTTGGTATAAGCCAGACCTCATATATTTTTCATTTCACATATTGAATACTATCATTCAGTAAAAAAAAGTATTTCGAAAAAAAAAATTGGACAGTCCAAGAGATGAGAACCCGGGCCCTCTCACGCATGAAGCGAGAGACATTTTTGTTTCTCTTTTATTGAAGCGAGAGACATACCGCTAGACCGCGGAACTGCTTTATTCTGACACAAATTATATGCAAAGATGAAGTCAAATTCATGTATAATATTCACGTTTGTGTTGTCAAAAGTTACACAATGCATGGTGTCTAATTCAACCTTTGTTAAACAGTTCTAATTGCGTGGACCCTGAGGTCCACGCAGTAGATATATAAGCGAGGTTGAACCGGATGCCCTGGGCAAACGTCAGCCTACGCATGCGCGAGAATTCTAGAGAGTTCCAATCGGCAATCCTCGGCTGACTCCGCTGCACCAATCGCAACTTCTCGTGCCTTTCCGACAAGTTTTTTGATGATAAGACCTAGATGATGCGATTGAGAGTTCATTGGCGGATCCAGATTTCCAATCACATACACAACAACTTGATACAAGCCTGTAGCAACGGCTTTCCAAGTGGGGGAGTGGGGGGGGGGGGGGAGGTCTCTGAAAAAAGAAAATCTGCGTACTTAAGACCTGTGCTACATGTGTACCATCAGCTTTAATTTTCTAATGTTAGATTTCTTCCAAACAAATCTAGAATACTAGTATGTGTAAAATCCCAGTCATTATGGGTTAAATGTATCGACATGGCCCAAATTTAAAATGACAGAACTATATGCCAATCGGAGATTAAAGTAACAAAATTTTGCTATGAAAGTACATGTAGTATCAGTCAAAGTAGGCATATCATTGTAGAAAATGCGAACGAACCTACATGAATATTCAATAAACTTAGAATCTTTTTTTCTTTAATTTTCGGTTAGAAACACCTTCATAAATAACGACATGTAATTCAATATATACTAATAAAACAAACCGGACGGGACACTTTGCGAGGGGTACGAGAGGCCTAGAGAGGTTTGGTATAAAATGACTTTGCGAAAGCTAAAAATCTTCTTGAAATATCACCCGGAAGGATAGTGTTTCATACAGACAGAATGTATCAATTAACGACCTTGAACTTTGACCTTTTGACCTCAAAATCAATAGGGGTCTTCCTTAGGCCACAGGGAGTTGTTATATAAAATTTTATTGCAAAAGCTCAAAAGGTTTTCGGGATATCGCGCGGAAACGAAAGTGTCATAACAGACAGAATTTGCAAATTTATGACCTTGACCTTTTGACCTTTTGACGGTCAAAATCAATAGAGTTCCTCTTTAGTCCATAGGAAGTTGATTTGCAAAATTTCATTGCCAAAGCTCAAAGGGTTCTCGAGATAGCGTGTGGAAACGAAAGCCTTACAGACAGAATGACGGACGGACGGACCCAAATTAATATCCCTCACTTTTCAAGCGGGGGACAATAAAAGCTGCTGCCTCAAAAACATTGGTTAACTTTATGCTTAAAATCACCCTGTAGATATACCCATTGATTGATTAACACTTGATGTTCCATTTTAAATATTGAAGAAAATATAGATACTCAGTGCTTTAATTTTCTATTCAAATGTTCCATTTTAAATACTAAGAAAAACAGATACTTAGTACTTTAACTTTCTATTAAAGTGTTCCATTGATATTAATAAAAATAGATACTCATTGCTTTAATTTCCCATTAAAAGTTTCTCCTAACAGTTTTTGAGAACTTGCTTTATGAAATTGCAATGTTATTTTGATGTTACAGAATTGTCTTTCATCATGTTTCAACTGTTGTGAAATAAAGGTGAGAAAATCTTTACATACTTCTTATTTTGCAATTTCATTGATTTTACTTTCTTTTTTTTGAATATATATCATGTAATCGAAAACTTAAATCACTCGATTTTCATTTTCAAGTACACTTACTTAAACATTATTTATCCTTGCCTTAATCAAATGTCAAAGGATTTAAAAATAAAAGAAAAATCCATTTATTTCAATTTTGCATATAAAAATTAACTTAAGTATACTCAAAATTTAATTTTTTTTTTTTTTTGCGCGGCATTTAGTAACATTTTCCTTATTCTACCGTGAATTAATCCATTTTAGATTTCACGCTTAAGAAAAAAAACTTGGCATTCAAATCTGATACCTAATTAATGTTACTTTAAAAAAGGCAATCCTACGTATAAATAAATAACACACTTTTTAAATTATCAAGAACTTTATTTAGGAGAAGGATGCTAACACAACTGGAGAAGAACCAACCGAATCATCCCGCCTTCTTAAGGAGGAGAAAGAAAGTGATGAACAAAGCAGACGGGTAAAAGCAAAAATGTAGCTTGAAAATCAATACTTAAGGTAACAATGCTCCCCCGTGTCACAGCCCAAATGTCTTTCTTCAAAATATGTTTCGATAAGTTTTCTTCATTTACGTATTATTTAAAAAAACATGGTACATATAGCCCGAAGGAATAATAAAACACGTGAACATAATTTATTTGGCAAATGGTATTGCTTCATGTTTTTGATATAACGAACAATTATTGAATAGTTAAATTTTACTTGTCTAGATCCGAAATATTGAAAATAGTTTAAAATTTGTAGCTTTTTAAATTTTCCTACGCATAATACAGCATCGTTACTTGTACTAGGATTAATCCTACCTCTAACTATTTTTTATTTGATTGCCTGTGTATCTTTTTTAAGGTCTGTTCTATCGATAGCTCAGCTCATAATAATAAAAATTAAACGAACAGTATGTGAAAAAACTATTTTAAAATTTATGAAAATACTTTGTGTTAAATTATTTAACCGAATTGAATAAAGAAAGGTAATTGAGGAAGGTAGGTGTTGAATATAAAACAAACGTACGTCTATTAATATTCTTGAATTCGAGAAAATCCCCAAAATAATCAAATAACTCAAAAACAGCCCACTATACATAAAGTACAGTTGGATGAACTTTTGTAAAACGCATTTATGTACGTTTTCTCGATTTTTGATATGATATACATGTACATTATAGATAAATTTAGGGGTCCTGTCCACAAGTACATGTAATTTAGTAATCCATATACAAGTTTAAAAACAAGATTTTAAAGCCACAAAGAAAAAAAAAAATCAGTCTGGCAGGAGTATATATTAATTTATAATACAATTAATTGTTAACATTATATCATTCTTATGGTATAGCTTTTAGTACGGCTTATAAGGGTATGCACATTAAATTACCTTGATCACAAATGCCGCCTTTACTAAAGCAAGGAAAAATCATGCATGTCAATGAAACAATGAAAAATAAAACGTAATTAAGGTCTTCCGCTCAGGCGGAAGACCTTCTACTGATTCTGATGGTTAAGATTATTAAGGTCTTCCGTTTCCGGAAACCTTCTACTGATTCTGTTGGTAAAGATTATTATTCTTTTTTTTCTTCTACTTCCTAGAAGCCAACTTTGAGACCTCATACCTCACTCATTTCTCAACGGATTTCGCTCAAATTTTTAGAGGTTATAGACGTTTATAAACTCTATCAGAATAATGACTAAAATTTCAAAAAGTCACTTCCGGTTTTGAGTAATTTCCCTTTAAATGAAAAATCATAGGCTTTCGTTTCCGGTTAAAGGCTCAGAGACCACAAAAGCTGGAGCAAAAATTTTTATTTGTTTTAGATAACAGAAGGATTGAAGTTGTGCACATCGGTGGGGGTTTTTCGATTTCTAATGAGATTGTCAAAATACGTCCGGGGACGTCACTTCCTGTTAAACCGGAAGTAGTCAAAAATTGCATATTTTTGTTGTTCTTGACAGGTTTTTGGATATCATATGTCATTGGAAGCTTAAATCTTAATTTTCTGTCCGTTGACGGTACTTCCGGTCAAACCGGAAGTTGCCAAAAATAGCTTGTTTTTGGAAAAATGAACATAGTTTTGGAGGATTAAACCATTTTTCGACTTCATTACTTTTTTTTCAAATGAAAGTTACTTCCGGTCAAACAGGACGGAAGACCTTCTCGTTGCTTTGCAACGAGCTCGGCTCTAGTTCCCTATTATTCTTTTTTTTTCCTAGACGCCAACTTCGAGACCTCGTAACTCGCTCATTTCTGAACGAATTTCGCTCAAATTTTCAGAGTTTTTGGACGTTACAAAACTCAATTAAAATGTTTTCCTACATTTCAAAAATTCCATTCCGCTTTCGAGTTATTTCCCTTTAAGTGAAAATTTGGTACTGTTCGTTTCCAGACAAAGGCTCAGAAACGACAAAAGCTGGAGCAGAATGTCTACTGCATTTAAATACTACAAGAATTGAAGTTGCGCCTATCGGTTTTTCTTTTTCGATTTCTGCGCTCCAAACGGTGCTAGATAGGGGTCAAAAATGAGAATGCCCAAAAGCGCCAAATTTTACATATATTTCCTAGTATATCTTTTAAACTAAAAATAATTTGTTAAGACATATTTCACAAATATTGTGCATAATTTTAAGATCTATTATTTGACATCATTAAAAAGGGGCTGGCCCCTCAAATTAGGGGTCAAGGGCGCTGGAAATTTTTTGCTTTATAACTCAAAAACGGTAAATATTTCGATATGGTTATCGATTTGAAATGGGTTCTTTAACATCTTACTGATCTCATGAAAACGTTATTTTGTTCGAATCTTGTGTTATGAATGAGCAGCAAACTTTATGTACAGGTAACTGATTAGTTTTATACGGCAAGTGAAGAATTCTTTATGCGTACGCGTATAACACGTATACCTGAAATAAACTGGATAAAAATATATACTTAACTAAACTGAATGTTAAACTTTGTTGAAATAAAGTTTTTAACGTATTCTCTAGCTGGATGTCATACAGATTATTCAGAGACAACTTTCTCCTTGTATTTAGTTTGAATTACAAGACGGGAGATAGGAAAAATACTTATCATCTCTCATTCGATTAATACTCAATGTTGCATTATTTATAAATAAAAGAAAAAATAAGCTTAAAATAATTCACTGTCATTTTATTCAGGCATCGTGAATTTTCCTCGGACCTTGACTGCTTTGTTTACAGTTGTGCAACCTGTTTATCGATCGCACATGCATTGACCTATATACATTCCGGCGGTCAACATTACCGCTCTTTTATTTTTACGGGAGTCCTAGAGTTATCTAAAACGATGCTAGTCATCGATTTACTCAGTTTAAAATCAAGAATTTGTTATTTGCGTAAATCGTAAGAATATTTCTAGACACAAATATAAAGGTTTTCTTGAACATGTACGAGTATTAAAAGATAAAATGTCTGATTCTATTCTTTGACGAATGAATAAAAGGCGCTGCGATTTTGCTCAGGTACAGATGATTTCTCTGGACGAGTCCATTGGTTACACTGAAAGGTGACGCAGGATGACCTATCGATAACTCGGCCAATTTTGATAGAGATTGTAATTGCACATGTACATAAATTAATGTTGAATTTTACCCTTGTGAAGTCCATTATAGTTTCGTTATTTAAAGAATCGGGGATATCACTACTGCAACTTAATTGTTTTTAATTTGAACGGATGATTCTATATTATTGGAAAGGTACATATTTTTTAGGCGCCGTCGTCTCCCTCTCAACTTTGAAGTAATTGCAATCGTTATATGTATACGGGCCTATATCAAGTGATTCTAATTGTTGCTTAATTTATTTCAGAAAAAAAATGCGATGTTGTTAAAAGTAGCAATTACAATTAAACATGACAAATGCACTCAGTAAATTGTAAGTGGAAGTGACGTTTTCAATTTTCATGAAAATCGAAAATAAAATTAAGTAACTTTGAGTTTTGCATAATTTGCTACATAACTTATCATTGTTTTTTTCCGCATGATATGCTCATAAATTTCTTTGATTTCCTCAAATGAAAAGCTAGAATATCACAATGACACGATTGTATGTGCATGTACATAATATTAACTAAACTACATGCTGTTTTACACAGAAGAGCACCAAACATGAGCTTTAAGAATACGAAAAAAAAGAATAATTAGAAATTCTTCTAACAAATGCAAAATTTCTTCCTGTAATTTCATACAAATATTCCAAGCCTTTCTTTCGTGTTTATTGGACTAAAAGAGATTAAATTATTAAATTTATTCTCACTGCGATATGTAACCCCCCTGAAATGATACAATGCTTTCCTTCAGAGTCAAGAATGGCAGGCCAGGGCTGGTGATGAAATCCATGATTACTCCATAACCTATTATAATATTAACCAAAAAATCATACATGATATTGTTAATTCGAAGGTTGTCAAATAAATTTAAGAAAAGGTCGGCAAAGATGAGTATGCCTAAACTTTTTTATTCATAAACTTTTTAATTTCTAGAGTGTACAATCGAGCATTGAAGTGTGTACATGTACTATATGTACTATTTTTTTTTTGGGGGGGGGGGGGGGGTACCAGTTTTCGCTGCATTTGATATACTGAATTTTGCATTGCATTTCTGACAATTAAACAAAGTTAATAGAATATAATTGGTGACAGTAACACAAGTGATTTATAAAACGAAAGTCAAGCAATAAAACGTTAAAGTTTGTATTTTGAAAAATAAATCAAGTCAAGTCACATAAAACAAAGACAGGTTGAAACGCTCACACATGGACATACATACAAACGTTTAGGTAACTCGGAATAGTCCAGAGTAGAACTATATTTTCTTGAAGACGGAATGTCCAGTACATCTAATGTTCACGACCGGGATAGTTCACGGCAGTTTCATCACACATATGCAATTATCATACAAGTCGAACGCTCTTTGAGGTTGAGGATTGACACTAACTCCTTAGATAAATACTGAGTATCAATGTCCTTTTTACTGTCTTAACTTAACTTGATAGGTAAATAATTTTAGCATATGTTAAAAATAAGCTTTAGAAATAATTCTTTTCATAAAATTCAATTCTGTTTCATATCAAATGAATTTGTAAAGTTAACTTTATGACAATTGTCATGCTGCAGATCTGTAGCTCGCTAGCTGTTCTAAAAAAAAATTGAGATGGATCACCAGAGAGCTACAGTGCCATCCATATTATCTCAAGTTCAGGCTCAGAAGGACAATTAAAAACGGTTGTAAGGAATGTTTAAATGTAGAAAAGTTTAAGGAATGTGTTTGAATATAGCTTCAGTGCAATATTTTTCTAATATTTTCTAGTTTTTTATTCTTCGTATTTCTCAATTCACCATGTTTAAATAACCGGTATTTATTTTTATTAGGACACATTAATCCTTATTTTTCAACCAGTCTGACAGTGTCCATCTGTCACGAGAACTTTAAACTTGATAATAACTATTGAATGAGTTGAAATAGGAAATCAAATATACTGTGATTTTTAACCCCGTGACCTTGATCTTGGAGCTTGACCGACTTAAAAATAACAATACTTTAAATTGACCATAACTATTGAAAACTTTCATTTTATAAACATGTACAAGTAATACCTGTGTCAACGCCTTTGAAAATTCATTATGATTTTTGACTCTTTGACCTTGAAGTTTGACCCACTTTTCAAAAACATTAACCATAGTTATACCTTTTGAGAGAAAAGAGATCGATTAGGGCTTTTATTTTACCACTGTGTATTACCTGTAACAACATTTTTTTAAAATACCGATACGCTGACTTTGACAACGTGACCTTGAGGCTTGACTTACTTTTCACAATTTTAATCTTGATCATAACTTTTGAATGAGAAGAGATAGGGTTTTTGTATTCCACAAAAATCAAATGTATGTGACCTGTGATAAAATCATTTCAAATGCTAGCATATAATGAACTTTGACCTTGAAGTTTAACCGGCTTTAAACATTGTTAAAAATTGACCATGACTTTTGATAAAGAAAGGATAACACTTTCATACCTAGATTTACACATGTATACACGTGTTAGCTGTGACAAAGCCTATCGAAAAAAATATAGCTTAAGAATTCGTCAATACGGTAGCACACAAATGGCTTTGCTTATCACCAGCGTGTGTCATGGTGTGACGTAAGGTCATTTTAACAAGGTCAAGGTCGCAAACATTCCTTTACTATCTTTTTTAATAGTAAAACATAAATAAGATGACATCTACCCTTAAAAGATTGCTTTAACAGTAGAATGTGGCATGACCTTGACCCAAGGTCATTTCTCCTTGTCCGCAGCTCCGACGGAAGACCTACTCGTTGCTTTGCAACGAGCTCGGCTCTAGTTACATGTACTTTCTGAAAAGAAAACGTACATACAAGTAAATATTTCAGGTTCTCAACCTGGGTTAAGTACAGGGTGTCCCAAAACATATGTTACACATTTAATCATCTACATGTATAACTTTATCAAACCACATGCATTCACTAAGATATTTCGTCAACATATAGTGTATTAGCATACATTTTATCTGACAAACTGTCATGAAATTCTGTTCAAAATTCAGTTAAATATGATGTCCAAATGACGTCATCATATTTTTGATATGGAACCTTCATGTGAACAGCTGGTAGAAATGGTAGAAATTGTCAAAATTTACTATGGGTCTAAGTCTTCTACTTAGTCATTAGAACCATGAGAAAGCAACATCCTGTAATGAAAGTGTTCAGTAGAATACTGATTTACAGATTTGTGAGGGAGTTTAAAGTTAACGGCTTGACTTAATTCTGCTATTAGAAGACCAAAGAGTGCCCGTACCAAAGAGAGCGTCGATAAAATGATAGAGTTATTACTGAAACTTACAAAAATCCCTTAGACGGGTCCTGCATGAACAAGATATACATGAAGCACCTTTCGTAAATCAACTGTTTATAAAATACTCAAAAAAAATCTCAATACTTTAACATTGATTCCTTACATGATAAGTGAAATGCAGCATTCTAAAGAGAAAAAAATAAGAAGTCTTTTAGAGCTTGCCCAATGGATTTTAATTAGACCTGACTCTGAAAATTTAAATATGCAAGGGTTTACCGATGAAGCCCACTTCCATTTTAACAATGTTGTTAAAGAGAATCTTAAATTCTGTTGTTTGTTGTTTGGTGAAACCTAATTTTCATGTATAAAAGCCTCTAAACTGTGGAATGTTACATTTAAAACTTGGGAAAAACTACTCTAAAAATCGTGTTCAAACAATGGAAATTCGAAGGGAGGTCATTTGGAACATGTTGTAAAATGACATGTTATTCTGAAGAAAAAAATGTAGATGGTTGATAAGAAAACTGTGACAATTGTATGCTTGACAAAAATTTTATTATTAATTTATTACATATGTAATATTTAATTGATGTAACTTGAAGCATAAAATTTTTATAACGGTTGAAAAGTGTAACATATGTTTTGGGACACCCTGTATATATATTGTTAAGAATACTTGAATCAGCTAAAGATTAAAAATTCAATTCTCCTGCTGTGAAGCAAGATCTTGATCAAATTGTATTATCCGAATTACCAGTCTTAACATCCCTTAGTGGAATGTTTTACTTGGTACAAAAGTGTACTGCAGAAATATCTTCAGGAAATGTTCCCAAAACCATGAAGTGAAAGCAGACTTAAGGTCAGACGAGACGTTCCTCAATATCTGTTTTGTATATCTTCGTAATGTATAAAAAATATTCAAAATCTTAATAAAATTTTGATTTCTAAACCAGTTTCTAAACGTTTTTACAAAATCCAAACACTTAAACATTTGAAATTGGAAAATTAGTTTTCTTCTCAAAAGGATTATATAAGGAAAACTACCACTGGTATCTTGCAGAAATGCCTGGTAAAGTACCTGGATTTTTTGTAAGTAAACATGTTTAAGTAGCAATACTTCAATGACAAAATCTTTAAAAAAAATATCTATTATTAGGGAACGTCTCAACTGTCCTTAAGTCAAAATTTAAGTTTTGACTTTATTCAACAAACACATTTGAAAAGTTGCAATTTTGTCAAATAGTCAAACACGTGCATTCAGTGAAAATTTGACTTTACTTTTTCAGCCAATTCAAAAGTCACATAAAATCCTGCTTTAAACATAAAAGATTCAATGAAAAATTTAAAAGGGTTAAATATGTGTTTTTTCAGTGTTCACACAAACAAAGATTTCATTGATCAGATCCACGAAATTTAATGTTCCTTGACTTAATGAATATGATATTAATTTGTCACATAATGCATTTGTTCACAAAATTACGTATCCTTGAAAATGTCTGTTTTAGAAAATAAACGAAAATCAATAAAAATCAATATAAATAAATTAAAAATCAATATAAATTAATGATCTTTGTACCAAGTGCATTAATAAAGAAAGTTGAAAGTAACATTATTGACACCCCAAGGATCTAGCAACCAAAAAGTTAGTCTAAGGACATTTACTAGATGTTACCTTAAGTCAAAATTTAGATTATTTAATTCAACAAACACATTTGAAAAGTTGAAATTTTGTCAAAAGTCAAACCTCGCGTGCATTCATGTATAAAATTTCACACTTTAACTTTTTTATTGTTTGTTTGATACTCAATTAAGTCATTTATCATATAAAATTTCGTTACATTTGGATGCATATGATAGTGTTAAAAAGCATGAATCGTCTGTGTTTTCATGTTTTCAAGAGCAAACTTATCGAAGATTTTATTGACAGACAAGTTAAATGTTCCTTCAAACGCGCAATAAATATGATATTTATTTGTCAGATAATGCATTTGTTCCAAAATTGGCATTACCGTTGTGTTACCCGTTGTCACGTGTGTTGCGAAGGCTCAATAAAAATCAATAAAAACTAAATTAAAAGTCAATAAAAATTTAATATTTTTGAAAGTATAATAATATAAATTATCTCTATGTACATTCACTGAAGTCTGTTCTTAGTTAAGGATTTGGGACCTGTGTGTTTATGTTAAGTGTGTACATATAAAAAAATTCACCATCCTGCCTCTTTAGTATCAAAATATATCCCTGTTCTATTAGAATGATTCGCTGAAGGAAAAAACTTCTTAAACATACGTGTATTTGTCGTTCAAATGAGAGAGGAAATATATTTTATAAAACGTGAAATAACATGATCTTCTTTTTATGATTTAGAATACATGCACAGTTTAATTTAGTCGTACGGAACCCAGAATGACCAATCAGAATACTTCAGCAGGGAGATACATGCAGTGCATGATGCTCGACGCCATCTCAACACCGTGACCCAAACAGTGAAAGACCTTAATGCTACTGCCGATAGATTGGAGCAGGTAAATGAGAGAGAGAGAGAGAGAGAGAGAGAGAGAGAGAGAGAGAGAGAGAGATCGTGAAATCATTTTAATCTTTTGAGGCCAATGTTCGTTGGCAAGGAAATTTTCATTATTTCTTGGAGATGGAATCTTGTGAAATCTTTGGTTAAGTATGACCAAAGATTTCCTTTCAGTGCATCTTCTAAACAACAGTGCAAATGTTAATTGATTTATCTTGGTCTTTGAAAAAAAATAAGGAATACTGAATACAATTTAAGTAATATACTGTAAATAACTATTTATTGGAATTAAGATCAACGGCAGATCACTCTTACTGCAGAAAAATACCGTAGAATCAGAACTAAGTGGGCAGTGTAAAGAGGGTATTTGGAAAAAAAAAATTGCCCTAATATCAATTACATGCAATCAATACGGCTTTTAAACTGTACCTATGTGATGAACACACACATTGATTAGATATGAGATATACTGTAAATCACTCTTTTTTCCGCGAGAACTTTGCTTTTGCGTAATTAAGAGAGAGCTTGCGCTCTAATTTTTCATTATCGCGTACAATAGCATTTCTAAGAATTATGTTAAGCTATAACCACAAATCGTGAATTTTTGTGGCTATCTCGCGAAATTAAGATGTCGCAAAATTTCAGTGATCTACAGTACCTGGTGAATAAAGGTATTATTTCACCAAATGAAGGAGAAAAACTCTTTTCTTGTCTAATTTATATTGATAATGAAAATTTTTTACAGACTGCTGCAATGTTTAATCCAACGTCTCCGAAGCCAAAAAGAAAAAGACGCCGTATTTGTTTTTAATATGTGTTTACAACATCGTTTTTTAAATGCCTTTGAAGTATTGATTTTTAACTTAGTTTACTTCAAATTCATCTACAGGCATCATATGTTTATAATCCGTGTTAACAGCATCGTTTTTGAAATGCCTAAGCAGTATTGATTTTAACTTTTTTGACTTTAAATACATTAACAAAAAAATTGTTTATACATTGTTCAAAGTATATGATACTGAATCATGTTTGAAGTGGCATTATGCTTAAATATTCAATTATCTATCAATATTACCACTTATACGAGCCTGGTCTCGGATAGGTGAGTTTATTTTAGTAACCCTATGTCTCTCGATTCCAGATATCTTAAGTCCTTTCATATATATTATTATATTAACCCTTAGTCCAAACTTATCAATCCGGATAATTTAGGTGCGTTTACATAATTTATACTAGTCTCATATTTAGTTGTTTCCTCCTCTTCCTTTCTCGATAAATCGATAAAACGGTAAGGTCATGGAAAATTTTGTGAAGTTGAATTGTTGCAATGTTTTAATTTTCCCCACCCACCCTCCTCTTGTTTTAGAACAAATACTGCTGTTCTTGTTATGTCATTGTAGCTGAAGACTTCCTGCTTGGTCCTGCGTCAACAACAGCCTATGTCGCAGTGATAACCGTGTGCTCCAATATTCCCTAATGGTGCCCTGCTTGGTCCAGCGTCTTCATCAACTTGTGTTGCATTAGTGAATTCTGTATGATTGCGTGTTTTGAAAGACTGCCTGATAGGTACAGCGCCCGCATCAACCAGTGTAGCGGTGATGAGGTCTCTATTTTACCTTTATCGAGATGACTGTCTGTTGGGGATTGCGTCCCCATCAACCAATGTCGCGGTGATGAAGTCTCTTTTATCTGTACCGTGAGGACTGCCTGTTTAGAATAGCGTCCACCTCAGCCTTGTTGCGATTGGAATTCCTAGTGTTTGCGTATTCCGTCGCACCTCAACGCAATTGGACGAGTGCAACACATATTCTTATGCTCATTCCATTGTTTATTGACTTGATTGATATTTGAATTGATTGATTGATTAATAATTGATTGATTGACAAGTAATTGACTTGATTGATATTTGAATTGATTGATTGACTGATTGATTAATAATTGATTGATTGAATTTGATTGATTATTGCATTGGTGACGTTCATGCACTTGTGACCTACCCAGTGCATGATCCGCCCGATTTGGGTCGTCACATTTATTGTATTGATTGTTGATTGTGGGGCAGCCCTGTGGTAGCCCCAGCAAATTGATCACCGCGGCCAGAAGCGCCACATTAAACAAGCAAAATAACATCCATATTGTTTGTTTGATTTATAGAGAATCTGAAATAATCTAGAAGTATTACTATTTACTTTCCTGATTCAAAATATATAAAAATGTTTATATTGATTATGCATATTGTTTGATTCAAAACCAATTATAATGTTGCACTGTAATGCTTAGACACTGTTGTTTCCTCAGTTTTCGTGTATTTTGTAAAACAGACATTTTCCAAGATACGTTATTTTGAGGACAAAAGCTTTGCAAGATAATTGTCATATTTATAAGTCAAAGAACATTAAATTTCATGGATCTGCTCAACAACGCAATCCTCATTAATTTTTTTGTTCAACGAATATTAATGAAGCCCCAGTAATTAATCTAATAAACGTTGATATGCCCTTGTTGTATTGATTTTACTTTCTACATTCAAAATATATACATTTTCAAATAAGCAAAGTATGGTGTTCACAGAATTTAAATTTGATACAGAATCATAATTTTAAGTTGCATTTTGTTGTTGATTTCTTTTCAATCATCATTTAAAAAAATCTCTAGGTGCTCCATTTGGATTCCACCAAGTTACTGTGGAAGACTCCGTAGACCACACATACATGTAAAGTAATGTCAATGAGAAACGCCAACATCTTTTAAATAACAATTTTAGAATGCTTATATGATCAAGTAGGTTTTCAAAAGTTAAAACGATAATATATATAGTCTCTGATTAATTACTTGCGTAAATCTTTGCCTGCAGCTGATAACATATTCGCATTCAATTCAATGTTATAAAACATTACAAATAGAGAAAGAATCATTCTGTTCTCTGCAATTTTAACTATGTTTAAAATTCATTTCCTAGACTTCATTAAGGATTCTATGGAAGTTCTCGATATTTTGATTAAACTTAGAATGTTCCTCCGTCTCCTTCCAGTGATATATTATGACGTCATTTTCATCTTTTTTCTTCATGAAGTTTTCTGTGGTTCTTTCGAGATGTCTGTTATCTTGTATTTCAATACATGAATGATCCAACAATGGTTGAATGCTCTGAAATTGAGATTATACAATATTATATATTAGATATAGCTTGATGAACTATATTACTCCATGAATTTATGGATAAAATGAAAAAAAGAAACGTATCATTTTTCATCTATTGTACATGTATTGCATTGTACGTTGTTTTAACTTCCCTCTCGAGAATTTTCACTCATATGGAGACGCCAATAAACATATTTCATCTATTGAAAGATTGGGAAAGAAATTCGAGACAAAACCACAAAGTTAAACATAGCACGCCTGCACATACATGTAACCTTTTGCATATGTCACCCTTTCTTAAATTGTGTATGCATTTCTTTTAATGAAGATTTAATTGTACAAGTGATAAGTTTTTCTTCTCTATAAAGATAAGACAATCTTTCGAAGAACTGAAACAATTATATCATTCATTTAACTATGGCAGAAACCTTATGTTTTTCAAAAAGACACATTTTCAATCAAGCAAAATGATATGAATGAAGGATATGGAGATAACGAAGAACAGTATTTAATATCAAAATCCATAAAGCAATACAAAATTAAATTAGAGCAAACACTCGCCGCCAAAACAACGGAGGTCGGATCAGGTGCCATGGAAGAGTGAGCATCCCCTGCTTGACCGGTTACACCCTCCGTGTGCTCCTCGTAATGATCGGGAAATAACAAAAAAACCGTCCTCAATTCAGGTATAAATGATAAATCTCACCTCTCTCCTTTCAACTGTACGATGCGAGTTCGGATTACTCGGTAATGCGTCTGTGTTTGTATTTTCTGTAGTGTTGCCAAACAATCGTTTCTCGGTGCATTTTCTAAATTAAAATTTAAATAACTTTGAAAACCTGAAAGCATTCTCAAAATGAACAAAATGCATAAAAATGTTTCATACTTCTCTTCAATTTTCGTATTCCGTGCTTTATAACATGGAGTTACTGCAACAACTGCAACAATAGCTGTAAGGATAATGCATAGGACAAGTCCACCAAAAACCAATCCAACTATCACACTGTCAATATTACTCACTGAAATTTAAAACAAAAACTCCAAAACCATATTTGATTGGAAAATGTTTGGAAAAAAATTTTTATGCACGGCCGTAGAAAACCCGCGGAAGGGGTTGGTGAGTTGGTGTTGTTCCTAAATAATTTTGCCGATATATAGTATACAGTAGAAAACAGACATTATATGTTCGTCTCCCCATAATAAAACGTATGATGACATTTTTTGCATGTAAATGAGTTTTGTTGTTGATAGTAACCCCGACTGAAAATATATAGTCGTGCCCCGCCACCTTCCTCAACCAAGACTGAAATTGTTTCCTAGGGCCTGATATGACACAAAATACTGAATAATCATTTATTCCTTATGCAGTAATCACGAAACCTTTCTAGATTTAAATAGATAATTTGAGCAAAATTAAAGTCCTCTAAAAACACCAAGTTGGGATCAAGTGCCATTGAGGAGTAAGTATCCCGTATCGATGGATCACAATTGTAATTCGCAATATGTCTTGAAGAGGTAAATTGAATGATCAGTGCACAGCTCAGTGTTTACAAAATCATCTTTTAAAAAACACTTTGCAATATCATTCCATTAATGAGCAAACAAAAGTGACTTAATATAAAAAAAAATACGTTGCATGATATGCATCTGCAAAACACAATAATAATTGTGGTCTATATTATTTCGTGAGTGCAATGGGTGATTTGTTGATTCCTTATAGGCATCAAGGAAAGGATTTTAAAAGTCTTCCATTGCATAAATGTTTCTTCTGCTTGATTGATACAATATTTAATACGGTTTTACCCGTAAAAGGCTAAATAAATTTGCATAACATTTCCTTGTTTTTATTGCCAAAAATATTTTATGCTTACCCTCGAAACACTTGTTTCCGAATCCTATATACCCATCTTTGCATACACAAACACCGACTTGTCCTGTCAACGAACATATCTTAGATACATCTCTGCAATCCTTGGTCGATGTGCATATATCTTTTGAGATATCTACAAAAATCGAAATTATATTCCATATGAACAAAAAACGAATAGTAAAATAATTTTTTTTGTCATCAATATCTAAAAAAAGAAACATACACACACACACACACACAAAAAACATCACATTAATGAGGGATAATTATGTAAATTTATTTTTAGAAACATACACGGAAAACATTCTCTGTCATTTGGCGGGGTGTGGGGGAGGGGCATCCCTGGTCTACTGACACAGGTTACGTTTTTACAAGCGGACCCAAAGACAGCAGATCTTTGGGACTTTTTGGTATAACATCCTTTTATCGTGAACAAGAGTTGAATTGAAATATGATGAATTACCTGATTCGAAACGTTCTCGTGAATCCTCTAAAATTAATCTACAGGCCTTTTTACCAATTGCAAAAATTAAGGATCTGTTTAGACATTCTTTACTGAAAAGAAAATGATATCAATAGGAACATTTTTATGTTAAATATCATTTAACAAGTATGGTTACTTCTATTCATAGGTCGGCTTGATATATCCCAGTGAACTCGCAATGAAATATACAACTGGTTGTAATACTGTGGATGATTATAAAATCGATAAGTTTTACAAAATTAATGGGTCAAAAACTACATATGCTTTATTGGTGGACTTGTATTTTTCATCATATAACAAAAGGTTTTAGGGTTTTTGCTTTCATTTTTGTTTACGTACCTGTCCATGCTGTATGTCGAACAACCACAAAGTATTGAAATACATGTAATAGCAACCAGTACTGAAATTAGAAATATTATTTTTCAAAGTCGAATTCCAAGTAATGTTTAACATGTGAAAGTACTCAATAGAAGATTTGCTCTTTCTTATTTCGACAATTAAATTATGATGTAAAAATTTATATAAGTAGCAAACATTTTAAATAAAAAATATTTGTTTGAGATAGTTCAGCAACTCTTATCTAAAAATTTTCAACTTCATTCACATGGCTTTAATATTCTGAAAAATTATGATGTTCATAATACATAACAAACAGTTTTGAAGTCATAAAAGTATGAAAAGAAAACGTGTACATGTAATACAAAGGGAATCAAATATTTCAGAAAAAAAGCAAAATTACAAACCTAAAAATAAACATAAACGTTTTCATTTTTCCACATTAAATGGACTTCTGTTCAAAAGGTTGGCACATTTTATTACTAATATTTAGGTAAAGTAATCCCCTGGCTAAGTTTGACTAAAATATGGTAACAGAATTATATGCATTTTTTCTCTAACAAAAAAGAGAAAACAACATGAGCATGTACTTACGGTCAGCATACGTCATTAATGCCATTTTCTAAAATTTAAATTTGTTAGAAGTTCTAAAATTTCAATTCTGTATAAATGTCAAACTTTAAATTGAGTTGTGTTTTATATAGTTTGCTTCAGCGGAAAATTTAATATCCGTGCAGAAAGGAAGCCGATATCGAGGGAAACATGTTTAAAAATGGTATTTTACAACAGTTACCACACTGAAACATGATGAATGTGAATACTTGCTTAAAATATCTCCATATATGGAATGACGTTTATTTCAACTTATGTTATACGATATACATGTAATATAACTTGGGACAGTTAACGCTTTATATTTACATTACATACGAGGGGCGTTCAATAAATAATGTCATCAGTGCTCGGAAAGAAACAAAAATCGCTTGTGTATGATTTTGTCTTAATGATTTAACAAAAATATTCTTTTTTTAATTAAAAGATATGTCCATAACATTTTTATTCAATTTCCTATTGTTTTTAGAACACAGTTTTGAGTGTGACCCTTCGTATACTGGAAAATGGCAGATCCTATGATTTGCTGTACTTGTTTTTTTCTTTCTGAAAAGTGTTTTCCTAAGTTTGGGAAATGAAACAAGTCAAAGATTGAAAGATCTGGCGAATATTGTTCATGTGACAAAACATTAACTTTTTGTTTACCCAAAAACTCTTTTACTCTTTATGGCCTGTGGGTTTGGACGCTGTCAGGAAGAAATTTAATGTAGTGAATTTCTAATTCTGTTTCCTTCCTCTCAGAAACGTTTCAATTTTTCGGCAAATATTTTGCTTACTGGACTTCTCCAGAAATTGAACTGCCTCCCTATATATATATTTGAACAACAAGGCCAATAATATTTACGAAAATAGCGTATAAATCTGTTTTTGTGTTCTTGAAAATTTTTGCTCTTCTTAGGCCTTTGCAGTTTTGTCAAGTACATCTTATTCTAAATTTACTTTGAGGGTTAAACGCAAAATGGATTCAAGTTGCATGATCTGTTTGAATTTCAGAAAAACGTGGATTAGAACAATTTTTGATTTTTTAAACATAATTGTTTAGATTTTCTACACGCTCTCGTTTTCACTCATATTTATAAATATAGGATGACATTTGAGTAATAAACTTTTTTACAATCAAACGTTTCTTTAAAACAGTGTGAACTACCCCTGATATGATGTCTATCTAATTTGCTTTGTAACTTTAAGTCAATAAAACATAATCTGTGATAATTTGTTGAATTATCGCTAATATACATTGGTTGTTGTATGTCCTTGTTAAAATGGAGGGTGCCCATTTTTGATGCCCATTATATAATTTTTGCTGATTGAAATCCACTTGTTCATGTGTGTATGAAATAGACATACGTTGCTGTAAATTTCACATATTTCAGTTAATATATTTTTGGGAAATTAACAAGTTTTACAGCAGCTTTAATGACGCGTTCAATTTTACTCTAATTTACTGATTCTTGACCATTCATTTTTAACGCAGTGTCTCGAGTAGCCCTTGTTTTCCAGCTTCACACAATCAAACTATGAGATGAAAAGTAATCACATAAACTGTTATCAATTCATTAAAGATTCAATAATTAGAAAAAGTCAAGCTTAATGTTATATGATTTCTATGTTGTATGTCAAGGAGCTGATGACATTATTTATTGGGCGCCCCTCGTATATTTTTTGTATGTAAAATGAATAGAAATCTATTGCATTCAAAACACAAAAACACAGACAGGGTGCCAAGAGGTTAAAACATGCGTTTTAGTTTGACGTCATAATAGTTGAACGCCGAGGAAATGCAACGTCACAAGCGAAAATCAAAACATCACGTTCAAATTAACCAGAAGTTTTTACGTTGGCTGATCCATTAAATGTAGCTTACACGAAGGATAATACATAGATTTTTAAATAGAAATCACATTTGCAGTTAAGGTAGGAAGTTAAAAAAAATGTAAATATAAGCAATGAATCATTATTTTTTGAGTGATATAGTTTCATAACTGCAACGGTGAATGCAAACAAATTTTTATAACGCGCTAACGCGCGTTATTCAATTTGTTTGCACACACCGTTGCAGTTATGAATCTATATCACTCAAAAAATAATGATTCATTGCTTAAATACACCGCGAAGCGGTTTATAAAAAAGCGTTTACTGCCCCAAGTTATGTTATATCGTATAATATAAGTTGAAATAAACTTCAAGCCTTATAATTTAATTTCAGTGTAGATTAAATGAGACAATCCCCCCCCCCCAAAAAAAAAATTGCTTCAAATCAAGCATATTTTAGAAATAATTTCAAGCGGAAAATACGTTTTTAACGTAAGTAATTGTGACGTAGGCAAGTAATGCTATACAATATGGATTAAATCGTTTACCCAATCAAATGGTACAACTAAAATTGAATTATTACTTAATAAAACAGTGACAAAAATATGTAATCAATCATGACATTGTAATGAATACTAGCAAGATACAAATATAATATATTCAATATAATAATAAATTATATATTTCATAATATAATAATGTAAATACCTTTGAATTACATTGTACATGAGTGAACATAAAGAACAATATCTGAACATGTTTGACATTTTCTACATTTTTTAATCACGTACTGTGTAATTTATCTTGAAATATACGGAGGTTATTCGGAAAGATCCTGGACTAATGCACTAAAATACTATTAATACTATCTAGTTAATGCTTACAAAAAAAAAAAAAAAAAAAAAAACAAAACAAAAAAAAAAAAAAACAACAACAACAACAACAACGGGAAAACTAACCCTTTTTAAAGTTTAAAAAATAATAAATAAATTGAAAAGATTTATCTTGTATATCTAACTTCACAAATGTACCAAGATTTGCCCAAAACTTTAGTCACTAGTCACCTTCTGAAGGAATTTAAAGAAAGATTGTTGATACAGTAACCATGGCAATATAATAAAAAAAATTAATAATTATAAGATTTATTGTAGCCTTTTGATTGAAATGTTTTGTTTAAATAGGACTAAAACTGGTGAATGGGTAGCATTTTTTAAAGTTAACACACAAAGGAACATTTGGACCAGTGTCCCTTTTTTTCTAAACGTTCTATTTTTTCTAGATATTGCATTTATCACCAGGTTTTAATTACTTCTCCACGTGGCATAGTGCTAAAAATAGCGCCACGCGACGTTTCAAAACAACGGGAAGTAACTCTTAAACTGAAACGACAATTGCGACGTAGGCCCTATGTTCATTTTATCAGAAAGATAATAAGGTTAAAGCCTAAAAACAGAAAGCATGGGAAATTGATTAAATACAGAGGAATAGAGTATTTTTTCAGAAACTTGAATCGTATGCATAACAATTACTTGTATCATGCTCGAAATTGTCATATTTTATAAAACCGTTATCTAATCATGTAGTGAACATTTTGAATTTTCCCCAAAACTATTTACATGTGTACAGGATAATAAACTCTCAAAGATATTGATCATCTGATCGGCAAATTGACTTTCCATTGATTGTTACGCTTTCCTTCGAAGCATGCGAGGCGCATGGCAGTCGTAGTATAAACACAATTAACTCAAGTCATTAAAAAAGTACATGTCAGGACTAAAATGCAATAAAATTTAATCATGGCGGCTGTCGATTTTAACCATGGCGCAGCTCGTTTAAACATGGCGCACATAGATTTAACCATTGCGGGCCGCCATGGTAAAACCCCTGAAAGCAAATGAAATAATTTTAGGTTGATATCTTCAATGTTTATCAAAATATCATAAAATAAAAGAAAGAAGTTATATGATGACCTGGCGTTGTCGCCAGTTAGTTTCATGACGTCATTATATCTCTACATCAAACGCTTACACGTATCTTGATGAGATTCCTTAGATTTTATTAAAGATTCAAATTTGAACACCCTTACTACAAATCGACATTAACTTTTACCGGTACATCTTTCGTCTTCAAATCAATTTGGCATTTAAAAACAAGTACTCTGAATGCATTTTTTTTCAGAAGCTCACTTAAATATATCCTACATGTAGTTCTATACCAGATTTTCCAGGGAGTGGAACTTTATAGACTGTTGGATAAAGAAACCCAGATTCCTTCTGACGTTTTCACAACATCATAATTGTTGGGATATTTCATAGAGATTTTACGATAAAATTTCATAGAACTTACAGAAATGAGTAAACTTGCAAATTTTATGGTACAGTTATGTCATACCACACGAGTGAAATTAACGGTATTTTTGAATGCCTAATGCTCATATAAAAAAGGACTTTTTTCACTCACGCTTAGGTAGAAAAACGTAATTTTCGAGGTTGCACTGAAAAACCATTGCTTTCAAAACATGAACAATTTATTTAAAAATATAACTAACGATGTATAGTTTATAACAGTATTAAAATAAAGAGATGATGCTAATTTTAACGTTAAAAAATAGGAGATCAGTATA